GCAAATTCTACTTTTTAGTTGATAGTGCAAATTTGCCATAAGTATGATTCTTTTATTATCTTTGGCCAGAAAATATTTTTTAAAACTTATATGAAATGTCAAATAATTTCATCACAACAAAGATGAAAGATTTTTATTTCTAAATTTTTCGTCTACAAATCTTTAATACATAAATGGATATCAATTAATAATAATAAATACATTATTACTGATCTCTTCAACCAAAAATAGTTCCATGTTCACACACAAAACTCAGCAAAAATGAATTGAATGAAGACGAACCATTATGCTATAATATGTCGGACGCACCTACTGAACTTTTGATTCACATATTTCAATTTTTAAGACCTGTACAGCTTGTGAAATGCCGTCAGGTCTGTATAAGATGGAAGCTTATAATCGACAATATACTCGGACGCGATTCTTTATGGCAAGAGTTTTGCAAACAGGACTTCAACGATTTGTACGAAGTTGCCTTTTATAAATGTAAATCTGGCTTACGTTGGTGCGATGTTTACAGAACTCTATCCTTATGGCCACGGATAAGAGAGGCTACAGAGTCAAGAGATGAATTTGCATCTGCCTCTAATTCATCAGATGAAGTGAGAGACTTCCAAGTCTTAAGGGACGGTATCGTTGGAGTGCACAGTCGTGGCGCTATAATATACTACGATCTAGAAACTATGGAACCATTTAAAACAGGTAATATCCATGGCAATTATTTACGTTACATGGAAAATGAATCTACAATCCTCATTCTTGGTTGTAATTTAAATTTATTTGTAATACGCAAATATGTATCCGAGGGACAAGGTGAAGCCAATGCTACTTTTCAAAGTGTAAAAACATTCATTTTAAGAACACATGAAGTGTATTTTGTGACTTTACGAGATGCTGTATATATTTGTAGATTAGATGAAGAAGAAATAAACTGTGTTCAATTAGCACAAATGAGTTCTGGCGTAATGTGCATCGGCTACTCGACACAGTTAAATATTCTAACTTTTCAAAGAGATATTTACTCTCTTATAGGTAAAGAATGTAAATTGCAATGCACTTTGGGTCCAACAACAAATTTATTGCATTTATTAAAGAAATATAATCTTTTAGAACACTTAGATTGGAGGGTTTATTTCCAATGGATGTATGTTTTAAATCAATCTATACCACAAAGTCCTTTACGAGAAATTATAAGTATAAAGACATATGGAGAAGTAGTATTTATTGGTACCAATTGGGGTGTATTCAGGATATACTATGCTCCTTACATAAATGATGAATTTGATATATTTAACTCAGAACCTATAATGCAATATAATTTTATGGAGCGTTGTGACTGTCCTGTATTATCAATGTGTCCAATAATACAAATAGACGTAGTCGAAGGAGAGGATTGTCACTCAATTTTAATAGCTATGCCAAAGAAAATAGCAGTAATAACATATTCTCATGATTTATATAAAAACAAATCAATGCCCCGGTACCCAGATATCTCGGACGTACAAATACTTAAAATTACTGATTGATATATATAAATTTTTATTAAGTAACATAATCATAAAAATTGCAAAATGTTAATAAAAATATTGGTTCAAATCTTTCTTAATCTATTCTAATATAAAGAGGAAAAATTTGTTTGTTTGTATAGAATAGGCTCTGAGACTACTGAACCGATTTAAATGAAATTTAGTAAAAAGATAGTTTGAAAACCTGGGAAGGACATAGGATAGTTCTTATTCCGGAAATCAACTCTTATAAATAAAATAGCCTTTATTACAGGAGTCAGAGTTACAGAGTTATTCAGATAAAGTTGTTTTAGGGTTTACAAAATATCTCTGATTTCTGTGTGCCTTTTGGCAAAGGCCTCCTCCATCTGTCTCCATTGGACTCTATCTAGCGCCACTCGTGTCCACAGTGGCCCTAGAGTTTGGCAGATTTCATCCTCCCATCTCCTTATCTGGCGCCCTCTTTTGCGTTTACCGTCTCTGGGGTACCAGACCGTTACGCGTTTGCTCCACTTCTCCAGGCTACTTCTTAGTAGGTGCCCAGTCCACCTCCATTTTAATTGGTCAACTCGCGTGAGTATGTTGGTAACTTTTGTTTTAGATCTGATATCATCGTTGCGGATCTTGTCTTTTAATTTCACTCCCAACATACTCCGCTCCATTGCACGCTGACACTTTGTAAGTTTTTCCCTATGGGACTTTGTTAGCGACCAGGTCTCGCATCCGTAGGTCAAGCATGGTAAGATACATATGTCAAAGGTCTTCCTTTTAAGATGGATTCCCAGCACTTTGCTCTTCATTACTTCCTTCAAAGACCAATATTTCTTCCAACCATATGCAATCCTCTTGTTGATCTCCTTAGTCATTTGGTCGCTTGGAGAAATTATTTGTCCTAAATAAACATATTCGGTAACATAATCGAAAAGATCACCATTGATTGTTATGTCCACATGTTTTGAGTTGGTCATTATTTTAGTTTTGTTCTTGTTCATTTCTAGCCCTACTTCCTTGCTTTTCGCAGCCAGATCTTTGATCATAAGTTCTAGTTTCTTGGGATTCTCTTCGAACAAAACAATATCATCAGCGAATCGCAGGTGGTTAAGACGACAGCCGTTTATATTTAGACCTAAACCAGCCCAGTCTATACTCCTAAATATACTTTCTAAAACAGCTGAGAAGAGCTTTGGGGATAGTGGGTCCCCTTGTCTAACTCCTCTGTTAATAGGGAATGGGTGACCAGTTTCTTCCAGTTTTATGCTACTTTTACTTATACTATAGATGTTTTTAATTATATTTATATAGACTTCGTTAACACCCTGCTGTCTTAAGCTTGACCATATGTGGTTGTGGTTGAGCGTATCAAATGCCTTAGAGTAATCAATGAAAGCCACGTATAGGGGTTTCTGGTATTCGTTGTATTTCTGGATAATCTGTTTCACAGTATGGATATGGTCAATAGTGCTGAAATTCTTTCTAAACCCTGCTTGCTCCACCGGTTGATTCTCGTCCAGCGTTTTTGATATTCTCTCCTGTAATACTTTGGCAAACACCTTATATATATTGGACATTAGGCTTATAGGCCGGTAGTTACCCATCTCATCTTTAGCGCCTTTCTTGTGTATGAGGATTATGTGGGATTCGCCCCATTGATTTGGAATGAGCTTTGTGCGCAGGATGTCGTTGAATACCACTGCTAGTATTGGGCTTAATTCCTCAATTGATCCTCTCATTAGCTCATTCGGGATTTTATCAGGTCCCGGTGCTTTTTCTAGTTTTTGGGAATTTATGGCCTTCTCGACCTCTCCTGCAAGTATAGATGGTATTGGGTCTTCTTTGAGTTGAGGATCAGCTTTGTCTTGCTGATTTACGTCGTTAGCATGGTCTTTGGAGTACAATGTGCGGAAATAGTCTGTCGCTAATCTCTGTATATCTTTTCGTTTAGTAATGCTAGTTTGATTCTTTTTCATTTTGGGTATCCATTCTTTCTCTTTCTCTCTTAACTCTTTTAGTGCTTTCTTTATGCCTCCTGTTTTCGCTATGTGTTTTTCTAAAGTTTGAAGTCTTCTTGTTTTTCTATCTTTTTTCATACTTTCCCTAATTATTTTACTAAGCGCAGAGATTTTGTTTACGTTGTCTTTTTCCGAAAACAACTTCTTTCTTTCTTTTAGGAGATTTAAGGTTTTTTCGCTGTGTTTTGGTTTTCTTGTGTTTGTTATGCTGGTTTTTGTTAATTTGGTGAGTTTGTTTTCTACCTTGTTGTATTTTTCTAGTACATCTATTTCGGACTGAACAATTTCCAGAAGAGGTTTGGTATCTAATTTATTCAATTTAGTGAGTTCTTGTTCTGAAGGTAGGAGGTTTCGATTGATTATAAATTTTCTAGATATTTTAGGTGGTGCAGAGTTTAGACAACTTCGTACCATGCGGTGGTTTGTGTTGAAGTTTAGGTTCTGAATTATGTGTGTGTCCTTAAATAGTTTGGGTTTGTTCGTTAATATAAAATCAATTTCGTTTTTAGTCCGCCCATCCGGGGATATCCAGGTCCATTTGTTCTTAATTTTTTTCTTAAAAATCGAGTTTAACAGTGTCAAATTGTTTTCGAGCAAGAATTCGACCAGCTTGTGACCATTGGTGCTTCTCTTTCCGTGACCAAACTTTCCCATGATTAAATCCTCTCCCACTTGTCTCGTGCCTATTTGAGCATTAAAATCTCCCATCACTATAAGGTGATTGTTGGAGTATTTTTCCACGATTTCTGATAGACATTCGTAAAAGTGGACCGTGTCATTCTCATTAGCTTGCTCTGTAGGCGCATATACCTGGATAATAGACCAGTCTTTTTTGTGGTTGGAGATATTGATGTGGAGGATTGCTATTCGGTCCGATATCCCTTCGAATTCTTTTATCGAGTTTTTGTGATTAGACTTAACTAAGAAGCCTACTCCACGGTGACCAGCAGTACCGCCTTTATTGTACATGATGTATTCCTTTCTTTCTACTATTCCCTCATCTTCTCTTCTCATTTCGCTGATACCTAGTATGTCCCAGTTTAGGTCTCGTAGGGCAAGTTCTAGTTCTTCAAGGCTTTCTTCTGTTCTCAGTGTTCGAGTATTCAGTGTACTGATATACATGAGGTTTTGTTTGTGAATTTGTTTTCCTGTATAATTTATTTCAGTTGGAGGGTGTTGGTCGTACTTTCCCACGGTGACCAGCCGGCTTGGGAAAGAGTTTTTTTCAGTTGTGGTTGTGTGCGTTTGGTTGTTTAGAGTGTTTGTCTCCCGGTCCTGTCGTTTCAGTAGTTGCTATTTCTTGCTTGCTGTGGTTAGTGAAAGTGAGTTCGATCTAACTCTGTGCACTTGTTCTAACTTGTTTGTTTTGTTTATTTTAGTTGGGGCAGTAGTTGGTTGTTCTTCAGCAGCTGCTGCAATTTTAGGTGACTTTGACGGCGATCGTTTCCGCTTTTCTGTTGATTTCTCATTTATGATCAGTTTATCATAGCGGATATAAGCTCGATTTTCCTTTCTTGATTTCTTCTTGTTGCTGTATCTTCAACTCTTTCCTTTTGTTTAGGATGTCTTTTGAGAAATCTTCACTAATGTAGACCTTTTGTGGGAAGAATCTTTTATTCTTTAACATTTCCATTTTACGCCATTCGAGGGTAACAGAAACAAGGATGGGTCTTGTTTTGTTTTGCATTGGCATCCCAAGTCTACGAACGTTGCTGATCTCCCATTTGTCCCAATTGTCCAATCCAGCTTTTTCGCCAGCCGTGTTAAAGATTTCTAATACCAGATTTAGAAGGTCCGCGTGATTTTTTTCAGTTTCCTGAACTCCATGTAGTATCAAGTTGTTCTTCCTTATATCCCTTTCCATGTTTTGTACTTTTGTTTTTAAAGCATTAATCTCCTTTTTCAATTCTTGGTTTTCTTCCAGAACAGGTCGCAGTTTTTCATCTATAGTGGCAGATAGGGTTTTTGTCACATTTTCGGTTATTCTTATTGTTTGTTTTTCAAATTGTTCCTCCATTTTAGAAAGTAAAATTGTTAGGTCCGTCATGTTTCAATTTCTACTAAATGGTAGTTTTTCCTTTATGTGGCAACACTTTTTAGACTCTGGTAACTTTGGTATTCTATGTTTATGGTCGGAACTGAAGTTGTCAATGTCAAACTCCACTGAGTGATTACGCTGTTATTTACCAATTTTGAATTTAGTATAGCATTTATAGTTATGTTTATTTTCTAAAACGATATTGTGTTTCACTGTTTCTCGCGATAATCACTGTTGTTTTTCATCTAATTGTATTGTTCACACTACTGGAATATACGTCCTTGTTTTTGTGCACTATTTGCGTCGGAACTTTTGGGTTTTACAACACTTTTTCGAAATTATTTTGGAGACACGAAAATACACGTAGTTTACTTGACAGGTCGAAACCGGAAGTCCCTCAACTCTTAAGGGTGTGAAAATGAGGGTAAAAGTTTGTATGGGGAAGCAACCTAGGGACAAACCCGAGTGAAGCGAGGGTGAGTCGCTAGTCTATATTATAATAAAACTGTAGAGGTCGAATGTCTGTACGTAGAAAAAAAATGCTAAAAACCGAGTTAGGGGTATGTAAGAAGAGAAATAGAACAAATCCAGATTTTATTCAAATTTTTTGTTTCTCTGTTTGTCTGTTTGTACGGGCTAATCTCTGAAACTATTGGACCGATTTAAATGAAATTTTGCATGGTGTTACCTTATATCCCCGGTCATCATCTTAGATACTTTTCATCCTGGCAGATTCAAGAGTTCCCGTGGTATAGTTAAAAAAACGAAGTAACTTATACAGCTTAGTACACAAAAACTATTGCTTGGATTTTAATGAAACTGTACAATAAATATAGTTAATACATCACAATAACAATTACTAATTAGACTACTTTTATCCCGGCAACATGTACGGTTCATCATTAAATTTTTTGTCTGTTTGCCTGTACGTCTGTTTTCTGTGCGCATTTCACGTAAGTAATGAACAACAAAAGTAATGAACCGATTTCAACGAAATTTGGTGAAGTGATAACTTATTACTTGAGTCAACATTTAGGATACCTTTAACTTCAAAAAAATCTTTTTTTCCTACGGAAAAATACAATAACTGGTTTTATCGAGTCCTCCCTAGAAACCTTGCGCTGGCTAAACCTTAAGACATACATCAAAACAATATACTTAAAAATTGTCTTGAAAAGGTCTACAAAAAAGTTCTCATTTATGTTTATTTTCTAAGGTACACTCGCAATATCTATTCTTATCTATACCTATAATAAAACTAACTTAAGTCTAATCGATGTGCGGATTTCACGCAAAAAGTACTGAACCGATTTTAACTAAATTTTGTATAGTGATAACTTAGTACTCGGGTCAACATTTGCGATACCCTTCACTATAGGCAAATTTTTCATTTCCACGGGAAAACACAATAACTGGTTCTATGGAATCGACACAATCGAAAATCGAAATCAAAACATTGTTTAAGTATTGCATATATATGTGTATTGAAAATGATTTTTCTTTTTTTTTCTGTAGTCTACAGATTAAAAATATTATAGAAAATTTGATGTCTATTAGAGAATTTTATTTGTTTTTGGTCGATCGTACATAAATTTCATACACATAGAGAATGGACTGAGAAATACTCTCATGAAATGAACACTCTAGAAAAAGAGAAAGTTAAATTGCGGCCAATACCTGTTTTAATCCAATTTGAATTTATATAATGGAATGCAAGAAATTTTTAATATTATAATGGAATGTAAAACGGTTACAAATATCTATCTTCGTCATCGATCAAAAAAGTACTAGATACACAATCAGCGACAAAAAATGTCCTCACCTAATGAGCGCTCATTTAAACATTTGAACGCGCCTTTAATTTAATTGTTTTTGTGAAAACAACTTTAAGCATTGCATTTAAAGTTTAATTTAAATTGTTGTAAATTTATTTGAACTAAATAATTACCTAAACACAATTAGTGACAGTTTTAAAAAAAAAACATTTTTTTGCATTGGATTGTGTGTCTAGTACTGGTTTGATAGATATTATCTTCATTAATCGTATTTCAATTAATACAGAAGACTTTTGGCCGCACATTCGTTTTATCTTTGTCGCACTTGTCCGCCGTTTTCAGCTGACGACTGGCAAAGAAACTCCACTCTTATGTATATGGTAAATTGTACATTTTTATAGTCTAGGGGATGGTGTTTTATTATGTTATCATGATTAATATAATCTAAGATACGACTGTTATCTTATTGCCAATAATATTTACTATGGTTTTTTTTATTATTATTATTAATTGTGTCATTTATTCATGAGATCTCTCATTTTGATTGTCTAAATGTTTTTTTATTATCTATACTATATGTGTATATAATATATATTTATTTACGATCGATCTATCCATCTAAGTGAATTAAATACAATATTTTTATGTAATAAGTATTATTTCGGAAACTAAAAGGTCTCATCGATTGGATCACCGCCTATTTATTGTTTGTTTACTAATTATAGTCTTAGGGAATAGATACTGTTTTGATAGCCTTTGATTATTTAAACAAAAAAACTTGTTTTTTTTATATAAATATGTATTAAAAACGTTCGTACTATTATTTCTTGATACTGCACTTTATTTATACTGTATGTCTATCTTTGTCACGCTACTTTTATTTTTGAGAGTGATAAGGAAGAGTTAGAAAGAGATGGAAAACTTTTCTTTTACAATCAAAGGCTACTCAAATAGTGAAGATTAGTTTCAAAATAAGGGTTGCTTTTAATTTTATGTAGTTATAAATGATAATATAATATTAGAATGTTTAAATTTTTTATTTATAACTTTAATAAATCATTAAAATATCTTATCTAAGGAAAGCTTAAAAATAAAATACCCTAGTGTTTTTGTGGAATAATAATTAAATTTGATTTGCGTTTTGTAATATCTGCTCTTAGACTATCTGCATACTGTATAATATGAACCGACCTCACATCACACATTATGATGTATTTAAAACTTTTAATTATATAGATAATGTCACATAAAGCCCATGTCAGTCTCTGACTTGGAAATTATATTATATCTATAAAGTAAATCATGTCAATATGTTGATTTGTTACTGAGTTAAAGCAGAACATACCGACAAACACTTTAGCATTTATATTCTCAATGATAATTTAAAAGTCAACATTTAATGATACTCAATGTGAAAAAATATGTCTGTTTTTTTTTTGGTATTAATCTAAGGAAATTACTAAATTTGACGTTTCTTGATCCAACAGAATATATTATAACCTCAGACTAAAGAAAAATGGAGCCCGACAAAATATAACTGTCAAAGTCAAAAATAGTAGCGTGATGTGCTGTATATGCTACTATTCTCGATGTTGCCATACAGATCGTTTACTTTTTCTAAAGAATAAGGGAAATTTTATATGTGTATTAATTAATAAAATATGAATAATTAAAATAATACTATATTCTTTGATATTCTATATAGCAGTTCTTTTATATATCAGTGACAGATAGATTAGCTTTTTTTTGTTATAATAAAGTCCGTCAGCTGTTTTTATATATCAACATTTATCTACGTAACACTAGTAAACAAATTGTCATTTGTATGCTATTTTAAAACATCGTTTGACTTCATGTTTAATTCTATAACACTCTGTCTTTATTATTCCTTAGTCTGAGGTTACATGTGTCACTTGAAACATTTTAATATATAAACTTTTTTGTTATAATTTGTATTTATTTTATTGTATGATTTAATAATAAGAAAAGTCGTTCATTTTGAAACGTAAGTACGTATTAGTATTGAATTTTGTGTTTAAACTAGTTAAGTGAATTGAAAATGTTTATTAGTTAGCTCTTAGTGTAGCGGGTTTGGATCCGAGTGTAATCTATGAAACATGTAATTGTGATTTGTTGTTTTATTTATACCTTCCCCTTTTGTCAAGACTCAAGCTATACTACTATTATAATTATAATAAGATTTGTATTTTTGTATGTTTGTAACGAATAAACTCAAAAACTACTGGACCATTTTGGATGAAATTTGGTAAGAAGACAGTTTGAGACCCTGGGAAGCACATAGGATATTTTTTTATTCCGGAAATCATTCCTCAAGAGAGTAAAAATGAGGATGTAAGTTTGTATGGGGAATCGAGCTAGGGACGACGAACCCGAGCGAAGCAAGGGTGATTCACTAGTAAATAATAAAATTTAATTTTAAATAAAACTATCTTTTCAGATTTTTCGCGGATATATTTTGGGTTGCCCGCGTTTCGAATGTTTTACAGCGCACATGTTCACGGGAGAGAGTAAGATTTTGGACGGTCATTATTATTATAGTTGTTACAGACAGTACATTTCCATAAAATACGCATTCGAATCGTCTGGAAGCAAATATCAAAGTAAATCCGGATTAAAATACGAAATGAGTTTGGTTTAAAATGTCATATATTCGCCTAATTTAAAAGTTGTAGAATAATAATTGGGTATGCTAATAGATATAACAAGTGAAGAGCTTTGTTATATTAATAGAAAAAATATAAGGAAAATCCTAAGTTATAATAAATTTTATTTCAAGTAAGTTAGACTCATTTTGTTAGTATACAAAGTGCTTATAATCTATGTTAGTACTTACATTCTAGATACATATACTTTTACATTCACATATATTTATACATTACTAACAAGAAATAGCACAGCAGTGATTAACATATCTACAATCCAACCTACTGGCAATTACCCTTATGATGCTGTTGGTACTACTCCGTAATCTATCCACCAGAGATCCACATCTTTTGCGCATCGTGGCATATAAACATTTAATTCTCGCTGCTGCGAACATCCCTGATGCATTACAAAAACGGGCTCAACAGCACCCTAAAGGCATTATTGTATTAAACACTTGGCCCACAGGTTGCACGTGTAAAAAGTTGTACAATATGCTCTGAACAAGGTGAGTTTAACTATATAAACATCGTCCAAACCTACGGGCCCGCATATTGCTCTCACTGACAA